CGACCCCTAACTATTTTGAGAGGCCATGGTACTCGGATGTTGCAGTGGAGGGTGTAAGGTATGGTCGGAGAGAGGAGTGGTATGCAAGGTTGCTTCTGTTGTTCCATACAAAAATACGTGGAGAGAGGGAGGAGCTGGCTTACGTTAGATATTGGAATGCAAGCGGAGAGGATACAGCAACAGGATGCCTTCGCCTCAAGTGGACAACAGGAATGTACGCGTACTCCGTGATTCCGATTGAAGCGCTGCTCCGCCACGTCCATGTGGTGAAGGCATTCCATCTGGACAGTACCTATCTCCTTAATAAGTATCAAATGTGATGCATTTATCTTGTAATAAAATGGCCAGCATATTTTTAAGCAGACACATTTTAGGGAAGTCAAAGTTTAAAAAACCAATTACAAAATCACAACAAATTTGGCACGCTTCAAATAAACAGCAATGTACCGGAGTCGCGGATTTGATTTCGACTTCGACAAACAAACGCGTTCCGATTTCATTCCGCGATTGGTCGCGATAAGGCTTCGGAACTTCGCCAACCAAAACACCTGAAATGTACACCCCTTCGAACCCCCTTCAAAAACCAAGGTTTTTTGTGATGTCAGCGCGTCTCCTCCTCCCCCTCTCAGCCCGTCTCCTCCTTCCCCTCTCAGCCCCTCTCCTCCTTCCCCTCTCAGCCCTTCTCATTATCTTGTATGCTTACCTGCTACTCAGCCATGTCACATTATTTCCTGGTTTGTGTTTGTGCAGGCCCTCGACACATCTGGTTGTGGTGATGTGTTGGTGTTTGATCGTGTCAAATGTGTAGCCTGTAGTGAGGCTTGTCTTAGGGGGTACATCTGTTAGGGTTTCTATATGTACCCCAACCACATCAATGAAACAAGATTCTCTCATTCTAACATGGTATCAGCTAGTTGGATCCTATTGGATCCCGATCCTCCCATTCCCGTTTGTTACGTCCGAGCCTCTCGTTACTGTTACGCCCGAGCCTTCCGTTAGCGGTAGATCGCATGGTCGCGCCTTCCCCCCCGCTTCTCGTCGCGTCGCACCGCCCTTCCCCCCCCCCCTCCCCCTCCCCTGGCTCGTCGCCCTGGCCGCGCCCTAGCCTGTTTCCCTGGCCCGTCGCCCTAGCCGCGCCCTAGCCCGTCGCCCTAGACCGTCGCCCTAGCCCGTCGCCCTGCCCGCGCCCTAGCCCGTCGCCCTAGCTCGTCGCCCTAGCCCGTCGCCCTAGCCCGTCGCCCTGCCCGCGCCCTAGCCCGTCGCCCTAGCTCGTCGCCCTGGCCCGTCGCCCTGGCTGCGCCCTAGCCCGTCGCCCTAGCCCGTCGCCCAGGCCCGCGCCCCAGCCCGTCGCCCCAGCCTGTCGCCCCAGCCCGTCGCCCAGGCCCGCGCCCTAGCCCGTCGCCCAGGCCCGCGCCCCAGCCCGTCGCCCCAGCCCGCGCCCTAACTCGTCGCCCTGGCCCGCGCCCTAGCCCTTCGCCCAGGCTTGAGCCCTAGCCCGTCGCCCAGGCCCGCGCCCTGGCCCGTCGCCCCAGCCCGCGCCCTCGCCCGTCGCCCTTGCCTGCGCCCTAGCCCGTCGCCCAGGCCCGCGCCCCAGCCTACGCCCTACCTCTGCCGCCCGGCGCCTTTTCCCTACCCGCCCGGCGCCCCTGCCCTAGACCGCTCGCACGCTCCTCCCCTAGCCCACGTGCCCCTGCCCTAGTCCGCCCGCACGCACCTGCTCTTCCCACCCGTTCCCCCCTGCCTTACCCGCCCGCTGCGACCTGCCTTCCTAGCCTGTTACGACTGTCGCTGCGCCCTGCTTTCCCTGCTGCTTCGGTTTGCGAACAATGGCGATACCTCGCGTCCTTCGTTTCGATGCTGACGGTCGCCTGCTCGATTTCTCAGTCTGGCTCCTCCGCGCGCGTTGCCTGCTAGAGAGTCAGGTTCAGTCGGGAGAGACCCTCTGGGGGCACGCTGCTGGTGTTCTTCTTGCGCCCCCCGACCCCACGCCATTAGGCCCGGACCCAGACGACACTGCCCGCGACCGCTTTGACCGCCAGCGTGCCGCTCTTACGGCGTGGACGTCGCGTGACGCTGCGGCCTGCATCGCCCTCAGCAGCCTCCTCCCTGAGTCTGAGGAGGTTCACTTCACTCAGGTTCGCTCTGCTAGCGAGTTCCTGACTGCGATTAAGGCCCGCTACGCTACTCCCGCTACTGTCTCTCTTGGTCGTCTTTTCCTCCCATTCCTATTCCCTGATCTCGCTTCGTTTGAGCGCTCAGCTGACTTGGTCGCTCACCTCCGCTCGCTTGACTCTAGCTACCGCGCTGCCTGCACTGACGCACAGCTCGCACTGCTCCCTCCCCGGTGGCGATTACTATCTATTTCATCGCCACTAGCCTCCCTCGCCGCCTTGCCTCTGTTCGTGACGCGCTTCTTCTGAAGCACCCTAGTGAGCTCACTATCGAGGTCCTTGAGTCCGCACTCAAGGACGTCGAGAGCAACCTTTGCTCTATAGCCGCTGCCTCTGGCGTTGTGCCCCCCCACTGTTCCACGGGTGCACAGTTCCACAGCTGCCCACCTTTACTGCCTCTCTAGCCACTGCTGCCACTGACGTCACTGCAGTAGCTGCTATGACTTCCTCGCGGTCCCGGAGTAGGGGCAGCAGGAAGGGCGGTTCGGGTTCGGGCGGTGGGGGTGGTGGAGGTGGAGGAGGTGGTGGGAGTGACGTCGCGCCTGGAGGTGGTGGAGGAGCTGAGTCTGGAGAGGCGTCCCGAGCGGCGACCACTGACTCCCTTGCTGGTGCTGGCGACGTCCGCGTTCGTCAGTCGCCTCCTGGACTCCCGGCCGCGGCGGGTAGAGCAGCCGCGGAAAATAGAGAGTGAACAGATTGAGCAGCTGAAAATAGAGTGAACAGGAAGAAACAAAGCAAGTAGGGGGAAAGAGAGTGAGCAGGGGGAAAGAGAGTGAGTAGGGGGAAACAGAGTGAGCAAAGGGGAAGAGAATGAGTAGGGGAAGCAGAGTGATCTGGGGGGAAGAGAATGAGCAAGAGTGAGCCGGGGAAGAGAATGAGCAGGAGTGAGCCGGGGAAGAGAATGAGCAGGAGTGAGCCGAGGAAGAGAATGAGCAGGAGTGAGTCGGGGAAGAGAATGAGCAAGAGTGAGCCAGGGAAGAGAATGAGCAGGAGTTGTCAGAATGTGATATTTGGCTAGTCTGCAATGGGGTACTCTACAGTGAGTACAACTCGGTTAGGGTTTGCTATTTGTATCCCAACTGCCTGCTAGTGCAATCCTTGCCAGAATCCCAGCCACTAACCACTGGGATAAAAGGGCTTGTTTGTGTAGCGAGTGAGTGCGCCCATAACCCCCCAGGCCGACGTGTGTGTAACCCTTCCGTAGGATCAATCGGGAATCTCCAATGGGCCTGTAACAACCCCCCGCACTGGGATGTCCGAGGTGCACGTTCTGGGGTTTGAACCCGAGACCTTCGCTCTAATAACATGTCAAAATTCCAGACACTAACCACTGGGATAAAAGGGCTTGTTTGTATAGCGGGTGAGTGCGCCCATAACCCCCCAGGCCGACGTGCCTGTAACCCTTCCCTAGGATCAATCAGGGATCTCCAGTGGACCTCTGACACCCCCCCACACTGGGATGCCCGAGGTGCACATACCGGAGTTCGAATTCGAGACCTTCATTCTAATAATATGTCAGAATCCCAGCCACTAACTACTGGGATAAAAGGGCTTGTTTGTGTAGCAGGTGAGTGCGCCCATAACCCCCCAGGCCGACGTGCCTGTAACCCTTCCCTAGGATCAATCGGGGATCTCCAGTGGACCTCTGACAATCCTCTCTTCCTTTCATTCCTGTTTTACCTAGTATTCTCAACATGGTATTAGAGCGTCTACGCTCCTGGCCTGTGGGCTCACATGCTTCCGCTGCTGTCCTGTCTGTCGCGCGCCCCGTGGCGCGCGACGTTTTTTCTTCCCAACACGCACTCGGGGCGCGTGGCGGTTTTCTACCCGCCACGCGCTCGGGGCGCGCGGCGGTTCCCTGCCCGCCGTGCGCCCTGGGCGCGCGCAGCGGTTTCACGCTCCGTCGCGGCGCCCCCGGGGACCCGTGCGCCGCCCCCCGTCGCCCGTCGCGGCGCCCCCGGGGACTTGCGCGCTCCCCCTGTCGCCCGTCGCGGCGCCCCAGGGGACCCGCGCGCCGTCCCCCGTCGCCTGTCGCGGCGCCCCCGGGGACCCGCGTGTCGCCCCTTAACCCCGTGCTCTGCGGGGCTGCTTCCCCCCCGCCCCTCCCCTTTCTCCTTCCTCTCCCTCCTGCGCGTGCGGCTATGGGGGTGGCGGGTATGGGGGTGGCGGGTGTGTGAGCCGTCCCCTGCTCCTCCTCCTCCTCCATCTCCCACTGCTGCAGCTGCCGCTGAGGGGGGTGGATGTGTGGGAGCCGAGGGAGTGGCGCTAGGGGGGTGCCGTGGGAGTGGAGCTAGGGGTGCATAGGGGGGTGTGTGAAAGGGGGTCTTCGACAGTGGGGGAGGTTGAACGGAGGTAGGCGTTGTAGAGCTAGCAGCGCCAGTAGTCCGGATGCCCTTCCTCCGGTAGCCAGCGATCCCGTTACGCCAGTCGCCCGTGGGTCCGTTGCTCCAGCCGCTCGTCGTAGCCGCGGAGCCAGTTACTCTAGTAGTCCGAGGCCCTTACTCCGATAGCCCGTGTGCCAGTTGCTCCAGTAGCCCGTGTGCCAGCAGCTTCAGCCGCCGCCTCCAATCTCCTCTCCTCTCACAGTCCCTCCTCCTCACGTGTCCTCTATGTCTCCCACTAGCTTTGCTTGTGAACTTATTATGTGACTGCTTGCTGTGCTGATTATACCCCACTTTGCCTATGGGGGTGTGTCAGAATGTGATATTTGTCTAGTCTGCAGTGGGGTACTCTATAGTGAGTACAGCCCGGTTAGGGTTTGCTATTTGTGTCCCAACTGCCTGCTAGTGCAATCCTCTCTTCCTTTCATTCCTATTTTACCTAGTATTCTCAACAGGAATGAGCCGGGGAAGAGAATGAGCAGGAGTGAGCTGGGGAGAAGAGAATGAGCAGGCCGGGGAAGAGAATGAGCAGGAGTGAGCCGGGGAAGAGAATGAGAAGGAGTGAGCCGGGGAAGAGAATGAGCGGGAGTGAGCCGGGGAAGAGAATGAGCAGGAGTGAGCAGGGGAAGAGAATGAGCAGGAGTGAGCAGAGGAAGAGAATGAGTAGGAGTGAGCCGGGGAAGAGAATGAGCAGGAGGGCGATGGGAGGGGGAAGCGAGGGCGATGGGAGGGGGAAGCGAGGGCGATGGAAGGGGAAGAGAAGAGAGGGCGATGGGAGGGGGAAGAGAAGAGAGGGCGATGGGAGGGGGAAGAAAGGGCGATGGGAGGGGGAAGAGAGGAAGATGGGAGGGGGAAGCGAGGGCGATGGGAGGGGGAAGAGAGGGCGATGGGAGGGGGAAGCGAGGGCGATGGGAGGGGAAGAGAGGGCGATGGGAGGGGGAAGCGAGGGCGATGGGAGGGGGAAGAGAGGGCGATGGGAGGTTGAAGCGAGGGCGATGGGAGGGGGAAGCGAGGACGATAGGAGGGGGAAGAGAGGGCGATGGGAGGGGGAAGCGAGGGCGGTGGGAGGGGCAAGAGAGGGCGATGGGAGGTTGAAGCGAGGGCGATGGGAGGGGGAAGCAAGGGCGATGGGAGGGGGAAGAGAGGGCGATGGGAGGGGGAAGTGAGTGGGAAGCGAGGGCGATGGGAGGGGGAAGCGAGGGCGATGGGAGGGGGAAGCGAGGGTGATGGGAGGGGGAAGCGAGGGTGATAGGAGGGGGAAGCGAGGGCGATGGGAGGGGGAAGCGAGGGTGATGGGAGGGGGAAGCGAGGGCGATAGGAGGGGGAAGCGAGTGGGAAGCGAGGGCGATGGGAGGGGGAAGCGAGGGCGATGGGAGGGGGAAGCGAGGGTGATGGGAGGGGGAAGCGAGGGTGATGGGAGGGGGAAGCGAGGGCGATGGGAGGGGGAAGCGAGGGTGATGGGAGGGGGAAGCGAGGGCGATGGGAGGGGGAAGCGAGCGCGATGGGAGGGGGAAGCGAGGGTGATGGAAGGGGGAAGCGAGCGCGATGGGAGGGGGAAGCGAGGGCGATGGGAGGGGGAAGCGAGGGTGATGGGAGGGGGAAGTGAGGGCGATGGGAGGGGGAAGCGAGCGCGATGGGAGGGGGAAGCGAGGGCGATGAGAGGGGGACGCGAGGGTGACGGGAGGGGGAAGCGCGGACGATGGGAGGGGGAAGCGAGGGTGATGGGAGGGGAAGCGAGGGCGATGGGAGGGTGAAGCAAGGGCGACGGGAGGGGGAAGCGAGGGCGATGGGAGGGGGAAGCGAGGGCGACGGGAGGGGGATGTGAGGGCGTCGGGAGGGGGAAGTGAGGGCGATGGGAGGGGGAAGCGAGGGCGATGGGAGGGGGAAGCGACGGCGATGGAAGGAGGAAGCTAGGGCGACGGACGGTGGATGCGAGATCGACGCACGGGGAAAGCGAGGTCGACAACGCTCTAATTTCTCACGTCGTGCCACACATTATCTCCGTGCTTCACACTCGCATTCGCGCGGCATTCCCTCCCTCGGTCCTCTGCTTCCTCGATTTCGGCCTAAAAGTATATATTCTCACATGTTGTACCTAGTTATTTTAGTCTACATACCTAGTTTCCTAACACTTACGTACTATCCGGTACTTACGCACGCTGTTTTGAGCATGCTCCAAGAGTGGGCTTGCGGACTTGGCAAAAAGAAATGTGTTGTGAGCTGCGTGAGATAGAGTGGTTGGGTTTGGTTTTGTCGGTAGTGTTTTTTCAAGTTTCTTGAAGTTGAAGTTGATGTTGCGATACACTGTGCAGCATTCCACCTTCTCCACCTCCCTCGGGCGAATTTTTCTCTCGTCAACCTTCGTGCAACCCTTTTCAAGTTCAGTATTTATGAACCATTACCATTCTATGCGCGTGCTTTAAAGCAAGGGTGCACTTTGGGGGGGTGGAAGCAAAGGTTTATCACTTCCACGTGGTTACCCTGTTTGTGTTAGGGTCTGACGCGAAACACACTTCAGTGTTGGCGGACTTGCGCGGGTTGTCTCTCCCCCGTCGTCAATCGAGACAGGCCAACTGGGAGTTGGGAACTTGAGTCACCACTAGGCAGTTTATGAACCATGACACACTTGATGTCCCTACCACAACACACATATTGCAAGCAGGTCATAGCTTAGCAACCCATAACGCACCGCCATCATCAGAGCATCAGTTTCATGCAATCGATAAACTAGACAGTGAGAGTGGCACAGTTACGCCGTCGTCAAAAGCCCAACATAGGGTTACTGCCATCGAATTTATCGCGCCCACCTCGTGTTTATTTCTCCCGCCCTGGATGCGTTGTACTTCTGCAACATCGCACAGCAACATAGGCGCACATTTCGCCGCGGCGGCGCACGCAGCAAGCGCCTTTCGTATCTGGTGGATGGCTACCGCGCGCACAAATCGCGTTGAACACGAGGTGGAATCCAGTGCGATTTCTCCTCGCACTTTGTCTTGCTCGGATGTTCTCAAATTTTAATTCCCCTATCCGTCCAATAGCGCGTGCTTTAGCCTTAGCCAGTGTGATAGAAGATTCTCATCCGCGAAAGCCGTGAGAGGGAGGGAGCAGCAAATCCGAGCGAGGGGCAGACGGGAGTGAGCAGCGATTTCGCGCTAGAAGCGGACAGGAGCAACGTGCGATTACCTGCGAGTGGCGGACTGGAGTGAGCAGCGATTTCGCGCGAAGGGCGGACGTGTGAGTGAGCTGTGATTTCGCGCGAAGGGCGGACGTGTGAGTGAGCCTCGAAATCGTGCGAGGGGCGGACGTGTGTGAGGGGCGACGGGGAAGGGAGGCGACGGGACGTCGATGAGCAGCGATAACGCGAAGGTGCGAGGGGGACGGAAGGAGCCGCGAGAAAACGCGGGGGAGTAGGCAGTCTCTGGTGTGCAGGGGGCTGCTTCAGGTCGCAACTCCGTCCGCACATTGCAACTACTTCACATCTCCCTTCCCCCCCTTTCCTCTCTCTGCCTTACTCCCTTCTTCCCCCCTTCCCCTCTCTACCTTACTCCCTTCTCCCCCCTTTCCCCTCTCTACCTTACTCCCTTCTTTCCCCTTTTCCCTCTCTGCCTTAACTCCCTTCTTCCCCTTTTCCCCTCTCTGCCTTCCTCCCTTCTCCCCATGCGCCACAGGGCGTATCCCGTCGGCCAACCCATCGCATGCCTCGCTAGGACAGCGCATCGGATGCGCCTCTTGTCAGAGGTCCACTGTGTAAAAGATTGAGAAGCTAGAATGAATGCATTGAAACAGAACTGGGTACAAGTACTAACCCTAAAGTTCGGTTGTACCCCTTATGGGCTACCCCACTACAGCCTAGACAATATGAACAACATTCTAGTTTGACACACCCCCATAGGCGAAGTGGGGGAGAACTAGGGGTCACAAGACCAGTCAAGAAAGGCAAAGCAAGCTCAGGGTGGATCACGAAGTCACCACACATTTCGAGCACAAGCAAATGGCCACAAGGCCAGTTCACATGCAGAGTTATATAAAACAAAGCAAGCAGTACCGTGATTACAACCTAGCAAATGTAAGCATGCAAGGATATATATAGATCACAGTACAAGCAAGGTCAAGCAGTGAGCAAGTGTGAGAAAGTAGGCACGAGATCTAGAGCAGCGCAATGACGCTGATGATCACTAGGCGGAAGTGCCTTGGTGAATATATCAGCTGTGTTGGCCCGCGTGTCCACGTACGCAAGACGAAGCTGGCCGCGCTGCTGCAGCTCTCGAGCAAGAAAGTAACGCAGAGCGATGTGCTTCGTTCTGTGCTCCAGTCTGTGCTCCTGACACAAGGCGAGGGCTGCCTTGTTGTCGCCGTACAGAACTGGAGGAGAACGAGGCCGCTCTCCCAAGTCAGTCAGCAGGTAGGTCAGCCAGCGTAGCTCCTGTGCAGCCATGGCTGTGTACAGCGTAGATCTCAGCCTCACAACTGGAGCTGAGAACAGAAGAAGAGCGCGTAGACCGCCAAGAGACAATGCCGGAACCAAGGCTGAAGGTGTAACCCTGTGACGACCGCTGCGTAGCCAGGTCGTCAACCCAAGAAGCGTCTGAGTGTCCAGTGAGGACAACATCACCCCGTCCTCCAAGCACCAGCCCCATGCCTGATGTACTGCACAAGTAGCGCAGCACCCTCTTAGCAGCCTCCCAGTGCTCTCGCCGGTGTCTCCCAGGCGCAACGTAGCGAGCAAGGATGCTAAGAGGGTACGCAAGGTCAGGTCGAGTGCAGGTCATGAGGTACATGAGGCAGCCCACAAGCTCTGGGTACGGGCCACTTGGCTCTATGGACTCTCTGAGAGCGAGTGGCTGGTAGACAGAGGAGTGGACTGTGGTGAGGAGAACTGGAAGCCGAAGCGCTGAAGGACCTGCTGCACCATGTGTGACTGGGTCAGGGTAATGGTGCGGCGTGCTCTGTCCCGGGTGATCTGCAAGCCAAGGTAGCTGCGCAGCTCACCCAGATCAGTGCAGGTGTGTCTCTTCTGCAGCTCCGACTTCACAAGGGCGAGAGCCTCGGTGTCAGCAGTGGCAAAGACCAAGTCGTCGACGTAAACGAGGATGTAGAACGGCGGCAGCGAAGTGTCAGTGCGCAGAAACAGCGACGGGTCAGCAGTGGACGGAGCAAACCCAAGAGCCGCAAGTGCCGCCCTCAATGTGTCGTGCCACTCACGAGGTGCCTGATGGAGACCGTAGAATGGCCACTGGAGGCTCCACTGGGTACCAGGAGGGAACGACCCAGTGAAGCCAGGTGGGCGGCGCAGCTAGATCTCCTCGTGCAGGCTACCCTGTAAGAACGTTGTGCTGAAATCAAGAGAGTGAAGCTCGTAGTCACGCTGAGCGGCAACGTGCAGCAACACCCGAAGAGTGGTCATCTTCGGGGTGGGGGAGAAGGTCTGAAAGAAGTCAACTCCCTATCCGCTGACTGAAGCCTCGTGCAACGTAACGAGCCTTGAAGACAGGCGGAGAACCCGGCGGCCGCTTCACCCTGAAAATCCACATGCCATCGACTATGTTCGCCGCAGAGGGGGGGAACCTCGTCGACGTAGGTGCCTGTGGACTTCCAGGATGCCATCTCTGTGTCCATGGCTGTCTGCCACTGAGAGGAGTAGGGACCCGTAATCGTGGGGTCGGGATGTCTAGTGCATCCGGGTCTCCCTCAGGCGCAAGCAGCCAGGCCACGAGATGAGGTACAGCAGCCGCAAGACACTCAAAGTCCTCCTGCCTGTTCTCAAGGACGTCCGTGCCAAGAGCACACTCACCCCCAACGGACGAAGGACACACAGACTCAGACTGAGCAACAAGTGTGGTGGCGTAGACTAGACGACACACAGTAGCAAAGTCGACCAGCTCAGCAACTAAGGTAGATGCAGCAGCAAACTCAAACGACGGGTCAGTGACAACAGTGGCTAACAGACGCGTGACAGTAGGGTGAGCAGCACGAAGCAGGTCAGACTCAGTCGGGAACGTCAGGCAGAGAAGACGCAGGAGGAGACGGCAGGGGAACACGCTGTGGAACAGAGGAAGGACGAAGTGCCATAGTGTGCGTGCCGGGGACAGGAGGAGGGCGCGGACGCGGGATGCGACGAGCACGGGTAGCGGTGCGAGCAGGAGAGGCAGGACGAGACATAGGCCTACGACCCTTTGTAAGCGAGTCTGTCTGCTCAGGGTAAGGAGAAGGAGCAGGCAGTGGTGAGCCTGGCTGTAACGGGAGGCCAGTAGAAGACAGGAGGGTAAGAACCTAGTGAAGCACGGAGTCAGGCGGTGGCAGAGACGACGGGGACGACGGAGCGAAGAGGAGTCGCGGCTGCACAGTTCCACCAGTACCAGTCCCACCAGCACCAGCAGCTCCAGCGCCTCCAGCAGCTCCAGAACCTCCAGCGCAAGCACCTCCAACCCCGGCGCCACCAGCACCACCAGCACCACCAGCAGCAGCACCCCCAGAACCGGCACCTCCAGCTCCAGGGTCTCCAACTCCAGGGTCGACAGCACCAGCTCCAGGGCCTCCAGCCCCAGTACCTCCAGCAGCTCCAGACCCTCCGGCTCCAACGCCTCCAGCAGCAGCACCCCCAGAACCAGCACCTCCAGCTCCAGGGTCTCCAACTCCAGGGTCGACAGCACCAGCTCCAGGTCCAGAAACACCAGCACGCCGAGTGTCTCCACGACGAGCAGCTCCAACCTCAGCACCTCGGACTAGAGTACCTCTAGCAGCGGTACCTCCAGCTCCAGCAGCACGACTCCTCAGGCAGGCACGCCACGCAAGCCACTCGCGCAGCTGCTGTGGTGAGAGAGGCCCCCGTCGGGACGAGAGACCCGGAGGAACACCAGCAGACTCAGCACCCCCCGACCCGGCACCCGCGAGCCCAGCACCTCCAGTCTCCGCACTCTTAGGCTTAGCACTCCTAGGCCCCGCACTCGCAGGCTCAGAGCCCCCAGGCTCCGCACCCCCCAGCACCCGCAGGCTCAGCACCCCCAGACGCAGCACCCCGAGCAGCACCACCCGCAGCAGCACCTGAGTCACTAGTGACCTCGACAGGCTCAGCCAAGGGGAGTGGGTCTACCTGAGACACACCTGAAGGAGCAGGACCCTGAGGGGGAAGGGGGTCTACCGCAGGGAGACCTGGAGCGAGGAAAAGCGGCGGGGGAGGCAGAGGAGCAGTGCGGTAGGGGAAGAGACGGTAGAAAGGAACCGACTCATAGAAAGGAGCCAAGGAAGAGACAGGGAATGGTGCGAGAGGAGAGCTTGTCCGCGGACGTATCGCGGACAAGGGCACGAGAACCCCAGACCCGGAACACCGACGCATCGCCAACCTCTCCCGTCCAACGCAGTGTGGGCGAGGTCTTCGGCAAGGAGACACGGGGCCAGAGGTTGAGCTGCTGCGCAGCGTACCGAACCGCAAACGGCCACAGAAAATGGGGAGCCGCTGCATGGATCAAGGAGGTACGAGCAACCTCCATGATCAAGCCAATGCGGCGCTCAGCAATTCCATTCTGCTGCGGTGAGCCCGGAAGCGTGAACGACTGGAGGATGCCCTCCCCCTGACAGAAGGCCCGCAAGAGGTCGGAGGAGAACTCACCACCTCTGTCTGAGTGCAGACATAGGAAAGGAAGGTCCGTCTGGAACCTGCGGCGGAGCTGGAGACGAACTGCGCGGATCCAAGGGATCAAGACAGCAGGGACCTCACCCTTGGTGCGCAAGGGGAAGACCATGGTGTAACGCGAGTAGTCGTCGACAACCAGCAGAAAGTACCGCTCGCCGCCCTGTCCACGAATGCGGGCTGGGCCCCACACGTCCATGTGGAGGGTCTGCAGAGGAGCCTCTGTCGGGGGAAACGAGGAGGAGTGAGGAGCGGCGCGCTGCCGCCCCTCGACACAAGGAAGGCAAGGCGGCGCAGGCGAGGCAGGGAGGGGAGGGAGAGACCTGGGAAGACCAGACACAAGGAGGCGACGGTGCATGCTACACAGACGTGGCAAGGAGGGGTGACCCAGACGGTGTTGCAAGAGAAGAGTCTGGTGCGACAGGGATCGACACGAACAAGGGGAGGCTACCATACCTGACGCAGACACCTGAGCAATCGCAGGTACCTGAGGAGGGGCAGTGGTCAGTGTGTAAAGACTCGACCCTGGCCGACGGGTAAACGTGGCCAGGTGACGGCCCGTCCAGGCACACGTGCAGATCGCCACACGCTGTCCTCCAGGGATAAAGGTTTAACCCATTTATCCTGGAGAACTGCATTTCTCACCAAGTTCGTAGAGAACGAGGGGAGGTGGAGGCCTGACAGTGAGCCAGACGGAACCGCCGGGCACGGGAGCACAGTGGTGGACCGTGCAAGAACTGGGCCCCCTGAGGGGTCAGCGAGAGAGACTTCAACAGGTGCAGTGAGTGGTGCGAGTGTCGTACTGTCACGAAAGAAACAGCGGGAAGCACCTGAGTCAAGCGTGAAAGTGTGCAAGGCCTCAATGGGCGCAGTACCTGAGAGAGCAGACTCGCTAGCACCTGAGAGAGTAGACTCGCTAGCACCTAGAGCAGGAGCCTCTTTGCCTGGGTCAGGCGGCACACACAAGTAGCAGTCACCGTCACCGTCATAGGGAGATGGGATACTATGAAGTGGAGGGTCCAGTACATCGGAGGCGGGTTCTTAGCTCCGAAGTCGGCGGGAAGGGTGGCGCGAAGGCGAGTGTCACTAG